TCGGCGCGGCCGGCCCGCCCCTGCCGCCGCCCACGGGGCGGGCGCCTCGCGTGGGGCTCCCCCTTCCCCTCCCCACACACCACCTCCTCCTCCTCCTTCTCCTTGTGCTGAGGTAAACCGGCCTCGCCTCAATGTGCCTGCCTGCAGCCTGCGCCCATTGCTCCTTGCTCTGGCCTCCCCCTCCTGAGAGCACCGCGCCCACTAGGCCCGTCTCGGCCGAGGGCGTGCAGACACCCATGCGCCGCTCCCGAAACGAGGGCTGAGGTGCGACCACCTCCAGAAACATGCTGCGGTGCCCGTTGTGGAGGACGGTGTCTGGACTCCACGCAGAGGAAGGGAAAAGGGGAGAAGTCGAGTCTGTCCTGTCCGGCTCGAGGACGGCGCCGATCCGGCATCCCCTAACCCCTCGATGAGCCGAGGGATCGCCGGCGATGGCGTGTCAAGAGCAGACCGAACGCCGCGGCGTCTCCGGCTCCGTCGAGCGGGGCGAGGACGAGGAGACGCCCAAGAAGCCCACGGCGATGGTAGCCGGGAAGAAGATGCGGCCGCCGACAGCCCGGAGAAAGCCAGGCCTGGCGAGCCAAAGGAGGCAGTGAAGGGCCGCGGTGGTGGAGAAGAAGTCGAGCGAGTGGAGGAAGACGCCCGTCGTGCAAACAGACCAGGAAGGTCACGCTGAACAGGGCTAAGGTTGCGTGGCGCTCCACGGCAGGCACCCTCGAAAGGGTCTCAAGGCACCCCGGGGTGCTGCGGCCGCCGGGTTGGGAATCGCTTGAACGAAGTTGCCTCAGGAATGAAACTCAAACCCGGAGCAGGCCGCGTGCCCTGCCACCAGGCCGGTGCTCGGGTGCATCTCCCCAGCGTCCCCCAAAAAAGACAGCAAAGACGTGTTTTCCCTTCTGGGCATTAATGCCCGTTTGTAGACTCAAGGCACCGTCTGTTTTACGACTACGGAAAAATAATGCATCGATTTCTCTGCGTTGCAAGGCACGCAAAGAGACCGCAGCAGGTCAGACTGTTTTGAACGCCGGATTCCTATTTGACATCTCTGGGTCTGTCCTGTGCATCGTGTTGGCACACCTGTGGCACCCTTGCAAGGATCCCGAGGTTGAGAATCACTGCTTTAGGAATACCTCACATTCACTGCAAGGAAGCTTCTTGTCCGTGGCCGTTCAGGAGACCTGATCCGTGGTGTTACGTGTCTTAATGAGGCAAAGCAGAAGGACACAAGACATTGGTGGCCATTTCTTAAGAGAGGAGGTTGCTTAAGAGTCTTTTGAACCCGCTATATTACCTTGAGCAGGCAAATATTTAACTCCTGGAAGTTTTAACAGTACTCAGGTGGACGAGTCATGTTTTTGCTTTGTTCATCCAACAGGCCATGGTTCTTCCTTGCCTCTTCTGTAGGGAGACGTGGGGTTGACAACATCCTCTCTTCCCACTGGCACCCTGGCCAGCTGGTAGACGTCTGTTCTTGTAGTCGTGGGAGAGTCACCACGATAAGACTCATCTTCTCTGCTTGATTAATACACCCAGCTTAATATTATATCCCACATTAATTCTCCTTTTCAGAACTTTACTAAATGCCTGTCCACCCCCTTTGGCAAATCCCAAACAAAACACCTTCCGACTCTACAATCTATGAATCTATGAACCTTACATTTTGTAATAGATGGCCCATTGTCTGGGATATGAACCAAGTCCTGAGTTTCATCCACTTTGTCAATAATTTCAAATAATCCTTCCAACTCGGACAACACCTTTGATGCTATCTGTCCTTCCCTCCTCATATTGTAGCATCATCATAAGTACCATGAAGCACCCTCGGTATGAAAAGTGACATTTTGACCAAAACATGTTTCCTTGGATGCCTCCCGATATCTGCCGAGTCCACCGAAATTCATTCGGTTATCTGAACTCTCCATTATCCAAATGGCTTCAGTGTCTCCTATAATCCTGAGATATTGTATGAGATGGTGCTTTTTATCTATCCTTGGCTGTGGATCAAATGTTAGGCCGTTCACTAGACTGCACGAGAAAAAGCATCTGAACTCTAGTTTCTTCTTTTCCAAGTTAACCGTTTCCAGAAAGCAGGGTGCTGGCACCTTGATTACACACCTTTCTGAACATAGCAAAATGAGCCAGTCGTTCTTGTTTGAGCCCCCGTTGCTTCTGCAAACAATGAGGGTTAATTCTGGCCCTAGTGAAATTAATGGGAGTTTTATCATTCATTCCACCAGGGCCACGATGACATCCTCAAGGGACCCCTCTTCCCCTGCATCAGGAGAGCGGCCTTTGCACGTGTCTTAACTGGGGCAGGCCCTGCCTGACCCATGGGCACTCCACTCCCAAAGATTAGTCCTTTACACATTTCATAAGGCATGGTGCATTGATACCGTGTACGGGTTCCCAGGGCCAGGGAAATGATTTGTTTCATCCAAACCATGGGTGTATGACGTAGTTGAGATTGCTACGTTCGTCATCAGATCTGAACCGAGGTAATAATTAGCTATGTTAGAAGTCATACCGAAGTCAGGGTAAAGATGTGCTTTATCGGCTGACTGAATCAGAGATGCATAAACTTTTGTGAGCCACATCTCTGATGAGGTGAACCGTGGCTCCTGAAAGCTTATGCATCTTTGATTCAGTTAGTCTATAAGGTGCACCTCTACCCTGCCTTCATGACACCCGTTTGGAGAGAAGTTCACTTACAAAGGACTGATCTGAAGGCAGTTTGAAAGCACCTACCAGCACCGTGTGACATGTTGTATGGCACTGAATACAAAACAACTCTGTTCAAGTTAAGTTGGTGCTAAAATGGTCTTAGGCCAAGAAATTCAACTTACCACAGACTTTCCATCTTTAATGGACTGTGGTTTAAATATCAAATAAAACCCCACAGAGGTGTTAGTTAAGGGTAGACTTGTGACTCAAACTGACATTTTTTTTGGTGGTTTGTTAAACCTTGAAAGTTATTAAAATATTTGTTTTCTTCCCCACCTTTTGAAAAAACATAGTTTTAAAACTTCTCGCATGGAGACTTGTACAACACATCTTTGTTACCTGGACGTCTATAATGAGCCCAGTGTCAGAGGCAGAATATTCAAGGTGGCTATTTTCTAGGAGCTTGTACTTCAGGCCAGGATTAAGACACTCTTTTTGTCGAGTAATAAAACCATTGAAAGTGGGATTTCTGTTTTTGTTAACAAGGTTCGTAACTCAACCCTTCTTGTCGTGTACAGTATTTCAATAAATAAATAAATAAATAACTATTAATGCCCATTGATGGGAAATTCTGAATGCTGCATATTCATTTGGCTCAATCATATCTACCTTACCTCTATTCATATTTTTCAATAGCACTATCTTAATAATCATGGGCTTCTTAAAAATTGCAGCATTTGGGCTCGGGCTGAAAGCTTTTCAGCCTGCTGATTAATTACTTTCTATAGTAATACCCATTTTCATTTTACTCAGTGGGAACTGAGTATCCAGATCCCTTTGATGCCTTTATAGACTTGATGAAAAGGTTCAGTTATCTTCCCAGAACTGACTGAGATGTTACCCTTTGTTCAATTTAAAATAGGAAAGGCTTTTTTGGCCATTATTATTTTTTCCCCTCGGGAGTCTTGTCTACACTAAGAAATTTCCTGTTTCCAAAAAACAAATCCTCTTGTTTGACCCTTTCTTGTAAGGAAACGTACTATGACAGTGAAAAATAACACGTTCAGGACTGATGCAACCAGACCTTTTTTCTTCTTCTCACTTTTAGCTTGTGGAACTCATTGCCTAAAGATTTTGTGGAGGTTGAAAACTTACTGGAATTCAGAATAGGATTGAGCGTCAACATGGTCAATGAGAACGAGAGAGGCAGAACAGGAAGGATAAAAATATTTTGGGAGGGATACAATCCTGCCTGCTTCGGGGCATCAATTGGCTTCCAACTAATGGAGGTAAGGAAGCATTTTTTTTCCTGGAGACAAGTTATTCCATACTTGAAATGTTTCTTACATCTTTTAAAGCATGTAATTCTGCTTAATGTAGAAGACAAAATAACAAACCTAAACGTGCTCCTGGTTCCACCTGATGTGACAACTCATGATCCTATGACCAGTTACCCTTGCTTACGAGTAGCTCTTTGCGAACACGCTGCAAAACTCCCGAGAGCTCAGCAGAGACGGTCTCCCTGTTCTCAGCTCAGGTGCCCCATGCTACAGCAGCCCCATGAAGAACAATCAAAGGAAAATCCTGCTTAGCCCCTGCAGCTCTTGAGCATGCTCATTTCATCTGTGGGGCATGATCACTGAGAATCTGGGAACTCCAACAAGACTCAATTGAGCATGGGCGAGCTATGATTTTCCAAGGTCTGGTTGGTGCTAATCAGGGCAGGTTTCATAAAGACAGCAAAAGGCATGCTTCTGACACCAGGGAGATGTCTCCTAAATTTCACATCCCTGCTCCAAACCATAGCCAGGGAGGGGAAGGTGAAGGGTAAGAGTTTCTCAATAGAATGCCTATAAAAGATGTGGTTTTCTAACATGAGCAAAACAACTTCTTTTTTTTTTTCTCCCAGCCTCGCTCTGAGCAACAGCTGAGCCATTTTAGCTGAAACTTAAATAAATAAAAAATATATATCAGCTCGAGGCAGATACCCACAATGGATAATTTCAACCCAAATGCTTCAAATTTGGCAAAGATATAGGCAACTGAAAACAGGGTTTAAAACAAGAGATGTCAAGTTGCTTTAGGTAGCTCTGCCTATAATAAAACAAACAGGCATTTATACCCGCTCCAGCAAATAAGCTTGTGCCAAATTCTCAGTTTTCTTTTCCTGAGAGGTTTCCTTGTCACAAATGACCGTCTTTTTAGCCGGAAAAAAGCTGTGTATCGACCTTATTCAGGCATGCTATATTACAGATAAAGAAGGTGGAGAGGGAAAAGACTGGGGTGATTCAGTACGGTGACTAAAACTGTGACAAAGAGAATTACCAGACCAGAAGTTCAATGGTATACTTACCCAGTACTATTCACCTTCATCACAAGAGTATCTGTACTGCCATGAATTATGTATTTTAATACAGTATCTGTCTTAAGCTAATCTTCTGTAGATTAAATTCATTACAAAAAGGTCAGAAACTAGATAAAGCCATTGCCCAAAAGCATCTTATTAATATCTGTGTCTCATGTTCTGAACAGCCTTGGTAGGGAGGGAATGCTCTGAGTGTGACTGGAACAACAATGCACACCCACTCTGGGTACAGCACATTAACAAAAGCTTAATTAATGCTAGATGATTTCAGTAGGCTGGTTGTAGATATGCACTAACGTCTTTCTTTGAATTGCAGTTTAACTCGAATCAAACAAATAGTGCAGGACATCAAGGATTCAGCTTCAAACTTCAGGAAACAAATGGATAGGTTGTGCCACAACAACAAAATGGGGTTTCTCAGCATAGGCGTGCAGACTTGCCCTCTCCTGACACCCATGTCCACGGTATAATCCGTGCCAAACTACATTAACAACATAGCTGATAGATCCCAACATTTTTGTGACATGCAGTAGAGGTTTAATAAAAGAGCTACCAAATTAACAAGGGCCTTTTTTTTTTCGCAAGAAGTCTTTTTCTTTTTTTTTGCATTAAGTTCCCTTCTGCAGTGGTTGTGCACACAGGATGTTACACACAGTATTGGAAGCCAGGGCTCCAGGTTTCTGTTCCTGGCTCTCCCACTAATTTGCTGTATGGCCTTGGCCAATTCACTTATCCTTTCTGAGCTATCGCATGCCCAGCTGTAAACTGAAGGCAGTATTTACAGGATATCCTTCACCAGGAATCTTAGTTAATTTAGGCCCAAACCTGTACTACGCAATCCAATGGGAATTTAGAGTTCTAGAGATTTGAGGTTCTCAGCTTAAAATTGTTATAGTCTCATTCCTGCTTACAACTTTATTTTCTAGTTTTAAAACAGACCCTTCCCCTCTTCCAATTTCCTTTTAAGAAGGAACCTGAAGTTTCAGCAAAGCGCTCTCTCGTGGAATACAAAAATAGCTTGACCACAGCAGTGGAAGGGGTGGAGGAAGTCTGCGAGAGGCCCTGCCACTCACCGTTATTCCTCCAGCATTTTGTTCCTGCATATCCATTTCTGTCTTCTTTTTTAATAAAACGCATACTGTATTTATAGAATGATAAAACATTTCTATATAAGGCAGCAGCAACAGGAAGCTGGCTCGAAGCAGAATTCCTATGCTAAAAAAGCACCCATTCCAGGAAGGCACCACTTCCAAGTGGGATTTCTCCCACATACCAACCCATACCCACATGCAGAAGCAGAGCAGTAGTGTAACGGTGCTTTTCTCCGAGAGATGGTTGTCTGCCTGCGATCCAGCGGGTAGGAACGCTGATCCACTCCTGCAGGAAGAAGACAAGGCAGATAAGAGCCTAGAGGGGAAAAAAGGGCAGATGAGCCCAGAGGGAGGCAGCAGCAGTTAAAAATAGAGATGAAAAATGAGAGAAGAGAGGCAAGAAGAAAGCAGGGAGAAAACTAGGAGCGCTAAGGAGAGAAAAGAAAGGGAACAAAGACAAAGGGAAACCATGCACCTAGGAGCGAGAGCTCTTGACAGTCCCTGACAGGAGTAAGTACCCCACGAAGGGCGGAGGAAAGTGCAACGCCTACCCCAACATTTTTAGCATCCTGTCTCTATTGCTGTCAGTACAATTAAGGCATTTCTGGCCTATCACAGCCTGTTACGCAGGGTTACTGCCAGGTAATGGACCACACAGAAAAGGGCTGGATTATTTGCGTTAAGGAAAGAAAGGTATAGGAGGGGGGAAGGAAGGGAAGAAAAAAAAAATTGAAGCCCAAGTAGAGTGGAAAGGGGATTGCTTTTCATTAGCCGCTATAATGTCTAGAAAACATTTTGGTCGAGGCTCCCTCAGCTCCTTACCATCCCTACCAAACGTGGGCGCTCAGAAACTTCCAGCAGGCTTGGCTGTCTGTCTTGACCTCTCCTCTACACACCTCCTAGCCCCGTTTCCTTCTGAATCAGGCTCTGCACTTGGGCCCGGGCTGCAGTTGGCTCCTAGAGAGAAGTATTCGCACACGATGGCAGCCTGAGAAAAACGTCGAGAAGGAATTAAAGACATCTCTGTTGAAATAAACATCTGCTCTATGTTCTGTATCATGGCAACGGCGCTCACAAAAAGTATGGGCAGAACTCCAAGGGCTGCCTGGCAAATCCAGGCCATCGCTACCTGTTGAAAACAGGCTGAGAAAGCCGTTTCTGTGCTGGCGGAGCGTGGACGGCACTGCTCAGGAAGGCAACGGTTCCTTAAAGGAGGGACATGAGATTTCAACCGGGAGAACATGGCTGAGAAATCTGTTACCTCTTCAGTGACCCCACACAGGCCATAAGGAGATGAGGAGACTCCTGCATACAATATAATCCTTTTACATGCCTTTCAGATAAACACATCCTCCTCCTCTCAACTGCATAACAGGAGACTGGTCCTGATCTGTTGCCTAGCACTTATACTGCAACAAACATCACTCATCTGCCTATCAAGCCCATAATTACTTAAGTGCATAGGAACGCTTTGCGCTTTTTTTGAGTTGATCTAATAAAAGATATCAGATTTACCCGAAGAACCTTGTCTGCCTGTGTCCTTAGACCAACACGGCTACAACCTACACCCCTGGGAGCACCTTGCAAGCTTTTGGGTGCAAACACCCTTCTTGCAAAGAACAATTTTTCCCCGCTATTTAGTTGGTCTAATAAAAGATATCACATCTACCCAAAGACCCTTGTTTGCCTGCGTCCTTAGATCAACACGGCTGCAACCAACAACCCTACAGGACTCAGCATTTTTTGCGAGATCAGTGGGGAAAACAAAAGAATTGTCTCCCCACCCAGCAGGTGATAATAAGGAGGGGAGCCTGCTGGCAAAACAGACTGAAGTGTGCTTTTCTACTCTGAAAAAAACCCCAGTTGCTTAAGGATGGATGTCTTCTTCCTCATCAGACCTGTTCTCTTCTGTGTATTTAGTCACGAACTAACAACTGACCTCTTCAACTCACTGACAAGGGTGTTTCTAGCTTTACGTTCCAGTTTCACTAAAGGGACTTGTTCTGTGCTCAACAGGGGACTGGCTTTCTACGTTCCAGGTGACTAACCTGGAGCCCTGGGCTTTTAAAACCCTGCAAACATTTTCACAGGGTGGGCTGTTACCCAAGACCCCTTAAAGAAGGAAACCCAGGTCATTCCTGGGAGAGGGAACAGAACCATTTTTGTCTTAGGTGTGACTGATCTTCCTCCCAGCAGTGATTAGCAAAAACAGGCCCCTCATTGAGAGCTTCCAAGGGGGAAAAGATGGCTGTTAAAAAGAAGTTTACTTGGTTGTTAACAAGGAGCTTGTGCACAAGGGGCAAACAGAGCACAGCTCATAGGAAAAATGTCCTGAAGCCACTGTACTGTGAGAGGCACAGGTTTAGCGCAGGTTTAGCACAGGTTTAGCGCTAGTCTCTCATTGACTAGACTGATGGAAAGGAAAGCAGCCGATAAGCAGATTTTGGCTATGACACCTGGCCTCCAAGGGGAGGGAAGCGGAGCAGGGGAAAACCAGAGCCCCTCAAGGTGCCTCAGAGACTCTCCCTCTGCCTGAAGAAGGGTGTTTGAACCCAAAAGCTTGCAAAGAACAATTTTTCCAACTACTTAGTTGGTCTATAAAAGATATCACATCTACCCAAAGAACCTTGTCTGCCTGTGTCCTTAGCCCAACACGGCTACAGCCAACGCTTCAGGGACAGCAAGGAACTGGAGTGGGGAAGGAGAGATGAAGCGATTCCCAAGGGGAGGAGGAGAGATTTGCTAACTTTATAACACAACAGGGGAAACAGGCAGCCCAGAAGTTCCTATTGTCTTTCTTTTAAAAATAAGAGATGAAAGGAGTCTCATAAACCAGCTGCTAGGCACTGAGCCTGCAAGTAATACAACCAAAGGGCTTCCTGACTGCAGTGAGAAGCCAGGCAATGCATCTTCAGGGCAGGAACACAAAACCACTGCAGGCTGTCTGCAGAGGGAAGGGTCTGCTAGGCTAGGGCCTTTGTGTGCAGACCCCTGCAGATCCATGGCCATCTATTGCTGTCGCTGGAGCCCTGCATGGGACAAGGAGCTTCCCCCATGGACGGTCCTTGGGGCCCATGTGAGCAAAGCAGGCAGAGAAGGCAGCTCCAGGGCCAGTGGAATCCGGCTGGAGGAGCCCCAGCTCCTTTGGGTGATTGCAATACAACACCTTTGCAAAGAGAGCTGCATGGAGGGTCCAGTAAAGTCTACAGGGGTCCACTGGGCCTGACGGGTTGGGTATCCATTATTTTATGTCATTTTTTTTCCGCTGATGAAGATGTGCACTGAAAAGCAAATCACTTGGTAGCACCCTTCTCTCCTGGCTTTGCTTCAGCATCTCTCCCTGGCCTGTCCAACGGCTGCGTGCATTCATTTGATTCCCGAGCTCCGAGAAGGAGCCAGGCATGGAAGGCCAGAACGCCGAGGTTCAGCGGGGAAAGCAACAGCACGACCTGTGGTCTAGAAGCTCACATCTATAAAATATGCAAAGCTCGATGCACCTGCGTCTGGACGAGCGCTCGTACTTCCTTAGCTGCTGGGAAGGTTAATAGATCAGTCATTAAAATGTGTGTCACAGCGAGGGAGGCACGTCGACAATTCCCCGCCGAGGCAGGCCAGCGAGGAGCTGTGTACACACAGTCCAGGAAACTGCCATTGCAAAGATTAAACCTCGTGGCATGTATGAGTGAGAAAGGGAAATAAAGAAAAAGAGGAAGTCTCACAAAGCCCCATCCCCATTCACTGTTAATGAGCTGCTGATTGCATGGGCCATTGGTTTCTTCTTTCTTAACGTGAATGAGGAGCAAGAGCAGCAAACCAGAGAGCCAGAAAGAAAACCCAAGGGATGTGTCAGGAGTGCGCTCCAGAGGCTGCTCTTCCTGCTCCATTAGAAAAGATTGCCACAGGGCAAAATGTTTGCTAGGCTGAATCAGACATAAATGGGAGTCAGGGGGTCGGTAGAGAAAGAGAAGAAAAGAAGCCGGAGCAGTGGAGCAGACTTAAATTTTCATAAGAGGGAAGTGGGGAAAGCTTGTTTACGTGCCGCTGTGCCCGGAAGTCCTGTGACTAACCCTATTTCACACACTGCAGTTATGCACCAGGGTTGTCTTTATTGCTCACAAGGAAAAACGCGCAGGGCAGCTGTAGGAGGGAAGGACTCACTGTCCTTCGGGAGCATTACGTTCCATTTCTTGAGAAAACCCCTCTCCTCTGGGCCCGCCCGCCCAGCTGCGACTGCAGTGCAGAGACCGGTGGGTGCATCTGGTAACACAGCTGATGACCTGGACAGAGCCGACGTGCGTGCTCCAGGAGTACAATAGCTTCTTGGGAGGCTGACGAAAAAAAGACAAGGCCCTGTAATAATTATTCCATGACAGAGCACACAGAGCCCTGCCATGCTGCAGACCCTGCCTGTCTTCTCTCTCTCCAGCCACCCTGTATATCATTTGATCCACATCGATGCTCCTGACATTGCACACGAGGGGGGTGACGCTGTACCACTGTCATGGCTTTCGAGAGAGTGTTTGTGGCTCATTTTAGAAAGGTCCAGTGGCTATTTAGGCTCTGAAGGTCTCTGAAAAACTCTTTGCAATTCACCTAAGGAATCTGGCAGCTAGAAAACTACGCAGAAAAAGAAACCCCCCCGCAAAGACAGGCCAGATGTGGCATGCCCCTTTGCTTTAGGTCTTTGCTTTCATTCTTTCCAATAAGGCAGCGTGGGTAGGCATGGCATTCCTCTGGAGGAGCACGTAACCAGAGTCCAGAAAGACACCAGTTCCACGTGTGCTTTCATGCAAAGACTTGATGTCAGCAGGACTTTACCACCAAGCAATTTGCATCACAAT